AATTTCAAAGCGCAAGTCCCTTGACTTCAATAAAATAACAAGTACCAACCCCTCCCACTCCCCCAAAAATAAAATGTTTACATGCCTGGGAGGGTCAAACAGAAAGTGAAACTTTTATGATAGTGAAACAAAGTGCGCTGTACTTAGACCATGAACACTGGGCAGCAGGTAACTCAAAGGCAGGAAAGCGGCCTCAGTAAGTTTCCAGGAAACTGTGCCGTTAGACTGGCAGGTTTGGGCAGGACAGAGTGTCCGGTGAGGCGCAGCTGTGTGCAGGGTCAGAGTGGGTTGGCCATGGCTCCAGCCGTGTCTCAGACCTGAGAGTACCATCGTCCCCGGACCTCAGGGTCTGTGCGGAACCACGTCCTGGGCCAGGGGTACTGCCCGAGACCCCACAGGGACACAACCCCCGTGGGGCAGTTCATTGTGTGGGGACTGTGGGGACATTCCTAGGGGTGACGCTGCCAGAGCTGCTTGGCCTGGGCATGGCAGGATGGCGACTCAGGGAGGACCCCCTCATCCCCCTCCTCTGTCCCTGCTCTGTGTCAGTGGGACACACTGGGAGAGGCCCAGAAAGATGATCCAAGGGGGTAGAGTCAGGAGAGCGGCCCTGCCCCCACATCCAAACCTGGCCTTCTTTGCTTCCTGCATCCCGGGGTACCCATTCAGCTGCTCTGCTCCTGCCTCAGGAATAGGCTCCCCTTGACTTGCCCCAGCACCCCTGAAATCTCCTACTGAAGCTTTGCAACCATTGGTCAGAAGGAAAAGTGAGTGACCCCAACTCTCCAAATGCTGGAGCCGGATCTCTGGGTGGAGACGGCCCAGAGCAGTTGCACTTGACCCCTGGGGAGTCTGAGTCCAGAACCTTCACTTTAGAGAAATAGCAACTTCTGGAAACCCATCATAAATGGGAGCTCATGGTGTCCTGGTTTCTAGAACAACCAACCAAAGCTGCAGGAAGTGAACCTCGGGCTGAGGCCTCCTTGGGCACAGGAAGTGTTTCCACTCCCCACTGCCCTGCTCCTGACACGGGTCCACCTGTTTGCACCCACCAAGGGCACCTTAGAAGGTGTGCTCCGAGGCTGGGCTGTTGGGTCGTTTTTATTGTGGAAGTTGTGATCCCACTGTGGGAGGGGCTGCTCTGGCAGTGCTCAGGGCCGCCCAGGGCCCAGGATTGACTCAGGGCCTTGCCCAACTCTCATGGCCGCCATTCCTGAGCTGGTCCTCTGGCCCCCATGTGGTGGGATATTTTTCTTTGGGTTTATGTGCCATGCCTGGTGGTGCACGGAGCTCAGTGTTTTGGGGTGGATTGGAGGTGGGGAGAAAGATACATGTCCCAGGGAGCAGCCGGGCTCCTGCGCATGCCCCCACCCGCACCCCGACCTTCTGGGTAGTTTCACGTTTGCTTCCCGGGTCCAGTCCTGCAGAGGAGCCCGAAGGTTCAAGGGGCTGTTTGAGGTCAGCACTTCCGCATTCCCTAGAGAGGGTGAATGAACTTCAAAGGGTGATAGGACCTGCTCACTGTGATATATGGATGAATTACATCTCTAAGCAGTTCTGTGTTTACCCTTTGGGTTTTCTGTTTCTTGTCACTATCCTTTGGGTTTCTTGTCCTCCTCTGTATGGTTCTAGTCCTTTCCCTACACTGCCTGGTCTGGAATCATTTAAGACATTTCCAACAAAATGCCTGATGCTGGGACCCCTCGGTCTCCAGTTTAGATGCTGCTCACCTAGGGGGAGTGGCTCTTGTCACTGTGGCAGAGCGGGTCTTCCTGGTGAAGAGAGATTGGATGAGGGCAAAGGCAGGACAGGGCAGTTGCTCTCAGGAACATGACTAGGAAGGATGAGCGATTACCTGTAGGACTCAGTCCTTTCCCTAATAATCACTGGTTTGAATCTCTGCATGTGGAGAGTGAAAGGAAGCCAGAACCGGTGCGGAGCCCAGTGCTGCACCCCTGCTCTGTCTCTTTTTTCCATCTCACTGTCTAATCCTCCAGGGAAACCCTGCCTCAGCCTGTTCACCACGGCAGGTCCTGGCAGCTGTGACAGCTGTGGAGGGACTCTGCAGTGGGGGGGGGGGGGGCTCTACTATGGAGGTCTCTGCTGTGGGGGTCTTTGCTGGGGGGGTCCATGCTAGGGATGTGTGAGAGGAAAGAATTTGGGGGTTGGTGGGGAGTCACCTGGGACCTATATTCTCCCTCCTCACCAGGCAGGACTGAGTTGGGTTTCCACTGGGTCTGGGTGTGTGTTTCTGGGGCGTGGACCAGAGGGGGCGAGTGGCCTGGGCTCTCCTGACTTCTGGGTAGCAGGCAGCTCTCTTCCTGTGTGGGTGCAGGTACACAGGCGCCAGAGACCCCTCCTGTCCCGACAGAGCTGTCACTCCTTCACATCTTCACCCTCGGCTCAGCCTTTCTCCATGGCTAAGAAACGTGCCCATGGCCTGTGGGCTTAGGGGCAACAGGCTCCTTTCCCTAATGGAAAGAACCAAGAACGGGTGTCCCCTGCCGTCATGGGGTGAGGGGCAGTGCTTCACCGAGGGTCAGCTGTGCTTCTTAACGACAGGGTGGGCCAGAGATTTCTCAAACCATCATTGTCTTCATCATCATCATCATCATCATCATCATCATCATCGTCATCATCATCATTAGCAGCAGCAGCAGCATCACTGTGATCTTCATCATGCATCTGAGTTCCCGGCTCACTGCTCCTTTCCCACCTCCCCATTTGCCTTTGCTGCTTCTTCTCCCAGATGTAATAACCACAAACTGCCCAAAGACCAGTGCTTTGAGTGGTGGTGGTGGTGGGGGGGTGTCTTGTCTTCTCAGGCTGCTGGCACCTGAATAAACCTCTTAACTGGCAGCAACTGTCCCCGGTACAGGCCTGCCGGTGGCTGGGACCGTCCAGGTGTGCGGGATGGGGAAAGTGTCTCTAGGCCGTGTCCAGCATCGGCCCAGACCTGTGAGGTTTGACCTGCTCAGGGCGGGCAGTTTGGGGACTGAGTGTGAGGCTCCTTGCTGCACCTATCTCCCTGCCCAGACTCTCCCCTCTCTCCCTCCCTCCCTCCTGCCTGTCCCTTCTCTCCCTCCCCTCCTCTCCTTGCACATTGGGTGGATGGATAGGGGTTGGGCCCCTCCTGCTCTGGGCTCAGGGGTCCCTTCTGGTGGTGCCCAGGAGACGATGGACAGAGTCTGGTGGAACTGGGTCGGCTGCATCTGAGTCAAGTGCTGTGTCCTCGCGACAGTGTCCAGACCCCAGATGGGGTGACTTTGGCCTCTGCCATGACCTCGACCACCACAACATCTTCCACTCAGGCTCTGATGTCCGATATCTCCTCTCTCTGGCTCATTTCCAGGTTCATGTGCCCATAGGACGGGGCCTGCCCTCCTTCGAGAAAGAAATGGAAGCTTTGACAGGAAGTGCTAGATGTGGAATTGAAAATGTTAATATGTTTCAAAGGGTCAGAGAGAAAGTGAAACTTCTTGTGAAAGTGAAACAGAAGTACGCTGTTTTAGACCCTGAGGACTGGGCAGCAGATAACTTGGAGGCAGGACGCAGCCTAGGTAAGTGTCCAGGACACTGTGTTATGAGACTGGTGGGTTCGGGTGGGAGGGAGTGTCCGGGTGAGGTACAGCTGTGTGCAGGGTCAGCAGTGGGTTGGCCGTGGCTCTAGCCATGTCTCAAGGCTTCAGAGCAGCTCTGGGTGTGGCCTTAATGCCTCGGACTCCAACGTCCCCAGAACCTCAGGGTCTGCACAACACCACGTCCTGTGCCAGGGATACTGCCAGAGACCCCACAGGACCCGACCCCCATCTGACCCCCCCTCCATCAGTTAGTGGGAACTGTGGGAACATTCCTAGGGACGACAGTGCCAGAGTTGCTTGGCTTGGGCGGATTAGGATGGCGGCTCAGGGAGGACCTCCCCACCCCCCTCGTCTGTCCTGTTCTGTGTCAGTGGGACACACTGGGAGGGGCCCAGAAAGATGATCCAAGTGGTAGAGTCAGGAGAGCGGCCCTGTCCCCACACCAAACCGGGACTCCTTCTTTGCTTCCTGCACTCCGGGGTCCCCCCTCAAGCTGCTCTTCTCCTGCCTCAGGAACAATCTCCCCCTGACCTGGTGCTTGGAGTCCAATCCTGAGGAAATGTCTGAACTCCTAATGGGGCTATTTGGGGCCTGCACTTTGACATTCTCTAGCGGGGCGAAGGAACTTCAGAGGGCACTAGGACCCGCTCACTGCAATATCCCGGATGGATTCCACTTCCCCCACTCCAGAGAGGTCGATGGCGATGGGCAGGCAAAGGAAGGAAATGAGGTCCAGGCTGGTTGATGTCAGTTGCAGTTTATTCCATTTCCATCTCCATTCTCCTCTGATTTTCCTTCTGCTTCTTCCTCCTCCATGCTACTTCATTCTCCTCCTCCATCCCCCTTCATTCTCCTTCTGGCTCTGGAATCTGGATCCTGATTCCTTTTCTCCTCTTTCTGGAGTCTGGATTCTGATCCCCCACCCACAATTACAATCCAGTTAAATTCCAAAGCATGAGGGGTTGGGGCTTACACATAGGTGTGGTCACAATCAAAAGGGGTAAAGTTCTTTCCCTAGGGGTAGCTGCTGCTAGGACAGATACTCTCTCAGCAGGACAACCCACCCTAGAACGGAATCCCCTGGGTGTGTTTCTCCTCTCCTTGTCCAATATTAACTTATAATACAATTTCAGTGTCCTAGAAGGATCTGACCTTACAAATTAACAGAATATAATTAGGGGAAAAGCTGATTAACTGGTTGGGGAGGAGAGCATAGAAGTGGTTACAGATAAACACAATGGAATGGAAGTGCCTCAGGAGCACTGTAATAAACTGAGTTCCTTGTGACAAGGGAGAAAGGACAAAACAACGTTATCCTACAGGTTGCACCCCTTGCAGGTATGGTACTTGTAGAACGCTTTAGAACCTTCCCTGTTACGGATTCACTTCTTCCTGTCTCTGTTTTAATTCGCAGAACAGAATCAGTCCTCAGCCCAAACCCGGAGACCTGGTTGAGATTTTTCTGTGGTGGGAAATTCGCCCCTCCCGCACTGAGATATCAGCATTGGGCTGTGTATGTGGGAGACGGTTATGTGGTCCATGTGACTGGCCGAGGTAAGGACTGGGTCTCTAGAGGACGGGCTGAGGTGACTGTGGGTTCGGGTCACACTGTGCTGGTGTCCACTATAGGCCTGGCCGGCGGGTATAGGCACCAAGGCCGAATGACCAGGGCTGTCCCCTGTAGGCCCATCAGCTGCTGATCTGTAACCAGAAGTTCCTGGACATGAGGTAGATACATCTCTTTGGACATTGGGGGTCTCTCAGCTCCTTTAGAGGACAGAGCCCTCCCATGCCCATCTCCTGTATAGCTGCTGATCTTCAGGGACAGGGAGGACAGGAAGAAAGGGCTCCCCCAACACTCAGTACTGCCAAGGGCTCAGATGGAGCATAGTCCGGTGAATGTGAATGTCCCTGGGTCTCCTCTCTCTGCTCAGCTGCATCCTCTGAAGCTCAATAAGAAGCACCCTGGGGGCTGGCAGCAGAGAGGGTCAGGGTTGGATGCCAAGAAGAGCAATAAGCAGTCGCGTCCGGGGAGCCGGACTGTGTCATTGGGATTAGTTCTGGTCAATGTGGTTCATTTTACCCACACACACGGCAGGGGAGATGCCCCCCATGGACAAGAACAGGAACCAGGGTCCCCTTGCTGGTGCTGATACATGTGTACTACACCCTGTCCTTACCATAGTCTACACTGTGTCCCGACACCAGTCTACACTGTGTCCCGACACGAGTCTATAGTGTATTCTGCCCCCAGTCTACACTGTATCCCGAACCCAGTGTACACCATGTCCAGTGCTGCCAGTGTCCCGACCCCAGTCTACGCCATGTCCTGACCCCAGTCTCCAGTCTACGTGTCCCCACACCAGTCTACACCGTGCCCCCACCTCAGCCTACTCCGTTTTCCTACCCCAGTCTACACCATATTCCCACCCCAGTCTACTCCACGTCTTCACCCATCTACACGGCGTTCCGGGCCCAGGATTTGGCCCATTTTCTCCGCCCTCCTATCTTCCTGTCGCTTCTATCTCTCCTGCCACACCTGTTCCTGGCGCCTCCATGTCTCAGATCATGGTTTCCAGCCCAAGTTTCTCAGAGGAAATCTGATTGGGTCAGCACCACGAAGTTCGGCTCCTGATTGGCTGACGGCGGCCAGGCGATGCCACGCTGCAGCCAGAGTCAGGGCATGTGGTTCAGGCCTTGACGGTGTACATAAAGGTGTGGAGAGGAGCGAGCAGAAGGAAACAGGTCCACGTTTTCTCTCCGACAGCCAAGGGCTCACTTCCGCTCCGTCCAGACTCCCAGCAGCTCCTGCCCGACCCTGTGGGGGGAGCACTGACCACCCTGTCCCATAAGACCCCTGCATCCCCCAGGAGACCACGTCTGCAATGCTCGTGGTGCAGAGTGGGAGCTGGGGAGCTTCTCAGGCAATATGGGGCTATGCCCGTGGGTTTGGTGCCCTGATCAGAAATGGGGTGCTCCTCTTCCTTTGCATCACCCTTTTGCAAATATGTCTAGGGGCTGCACCTGACACATTTCTGGAAAAGTCTCAAGGAAAGAGGTCAGCCCCAGGATGTCCTTGGAGCTAAGTGAAAGGTGTGTGTTTTGTGTGTGTCAGTGTGTGAGTGTGTGAGCGTTTGTGAGTTTGTGTGAGTGTGTGTGTATGTGTGTGTGTGTAATATCAGCTGATGATGTGAGGGGGCACAGAGCCCCTAAAGCTTCTCTCTGTCTGTGTTTTCTCCGAGTTGATCAGATCTTTGTCCTATTTTCCAGAAGCTAGGCCTAGCCTAGTGGAGTGAGGGCTGAGAGTTCGCCCTTCCCTCACGGCCCTTCCCTGGGAATTGCAGTGGTGTCTGGGTGGCGGAAGCTCCCCCACCCATTCCAAGGTGTTCAGAGAGTCTGTGGGTGCTTTGGACATCAATCAAGGGCTCCACACACAGGCCCCTTCCTTGACAACAGCCCAGTCCCTGGGAGGTCTGTGTCTTAGGGCATCATGACTGTCCCGAGAAGTGATGTTGTATCCATGGCTCAGGGTGACCACTGTCCTGTGGAAGGCATGATGGACTCATCAGACCTCGACATAACATCTGGCTGCATGGTGTCCTGGAGCTCTGACCCCCAGAGTCCAGGATGACCCTTTTTTTTAAAAAAAAATTGTTATGAGACACCATGAGGTACAGTTGTAGACTTACAAATTTTTGTACTTGGGTTTCAATTATACAATGATTGAGTCCCTCCACCAATGACCATTTTCCACCACAACTGATCCCAGTATCCCTCCCACCCCCCGACCCCCCATCCCACCCTGCCTCTGTAGCAGGCAATTCCCTTTTGTTCTCTCTCTCCCTTTGGGTGGTGTGGTTTGCAGTGAGTGGCAATCATGTTCAGTCTATAGTCTACTTTTAGCATGCATCTCCCATCCTGGGAGGATCCTCTCCAGGGTGACCCTTACCCCTTGCTGGCATCAGGGTGGCCCCGAGGATGTGGTCAATGGTCAGTTCTTTCATCTTGATGTTTGGGCTGCCATTCCTGACGAGAGAAACAGAGGCTGCTCCAAACGCCTTAAACAAGGGCGATGCCCTCAGGGCCCCGGGACAGGCACAGAGCTTCTCCCTGCTCCCAGGTGGAGATGCGAAGTCTCGCTGTGTGGGTGTGGTTGGTTGGTCCAGTCCCTAGTGACGTTTGTAGAGGCAGGGGCCTTTCCCCTCCTTACCCCCTCTCCCCCGTTACCCTCCACAGATGCCATCAGGGCTCAGGCCTGGACCTAGTGGGCACCCGCTGGGCCCTTCCCTTCCCAGGACCCGTGGAGGCATCTGAGTCCTTCTCCATCCCTGTGAGCCAGGGACAGTGCTGACACTCACTCACATAGGCCAGGTCCCCTCGGGATGGCTCATGGGGCTCCTGTGTGCACCTGTCTGTCTTCCCCGTTCTTTCACCTCCTGCCCACCTGCACGTCTCTTCCAGTTCCTTATCCAGGCCAGGCCCGAATTCATTTCCCATCGGTCCCCAGCCTCTGTCACTCTGGCTGCTTGGTCTTGGGGACACAGTGTCAGAGAGGAATGTTCCCTGTGGTTTCAGGTGCGGGTGGGCGCTGGCCTGTTGGCCCCTTTGGGGGTGAATTAGAGAAGAAAGAGGGTTGGGGGGTGTCCTCCCCCTGCCTTCACAGAGCAACATCAACATCAAAATGTCGCTGGAAAGAGGGACTTGGGAGCTGCTGTCCCATGAGGGAGAGACAAATGTCCTGGATTCCTGGGTTGGAGACCTAGAGGGCGGCTGCAAGTGGGACATCAGGGCCAGAGGAGGCATTTCTGGAGGGAGCGGGAGAAGAGGAGGGTGTGATAGGAGGTTGGTGAAAGAGACGTCAGGAGCTGAGAGGAACCCCCCAGACCCCAAAGCACTATTCACTCTCACCCTTGGAGTGCAGACCCCTGGAGATGAGGCCCACCCGGCCCCTACCTAGGCAGGTCAGGGCAGTGGCCCCCCGAGACCAACCCCCATCTACCCAGGCAGGTCTTCATTCGCATCCCACTCAACTCCCTTCATCCTGGGCTGAGTGCTCAGGGACACTGCCCTAAATGGTGCTCAGCCAGGCTGTTCCATGTCTCTGCAGTGCAGGCAACCTGATATTCTCTCTGCTCTGAGATGGGCTTTCCTCAGCTCTCAGCCCCCTGAGGCCACCTGCAGTGTCTCAAGCAGGAATCTCCTAATGTTGCTGCTGGGCCATGCCGGGTCTGGGGTCCAAGATGGTCACAGACTCGGCCTGAGGGGGACTTAGCCCTGCCGGATTGCTGCTGGGCACACAGTCTTTGGACCCTGGACGGTCCAGCTGCTGGATCCTCGGTCCAGAGCGCTGGAGTTCCTGCTGACGCAGCTCCTGAGCCCTCTGAGCTGGTCAGCCTGTGAGAACACTCCGGGGCCTCGAGGCAACGGCCTCAGTACCCTCCTCCCAATAATAACATCATCCATGCAAACTCAGGGTCTGTGCGGGACCACGTCCTGGGCCAGGGGCATTGCCTGAGACCCCACAGGCATCCGACCCTGATAGGGCAGTTCAGTGAGTGGGGACTTTGGGGACGTTCCTAGGGGTGATGGTGCCAGAGCTGCTTGACCTGGGTGGGGCAGGATGGCGGCTCAGGGAGCACCCCTCCATCCCCCTCCTCTGTCCCTGCTCTGTGTCAGTGGAACAGACTGGGAGGGGCCCAGAAAGATGATCCAAGGGGTAGAGTCAGGAGAGCGGCCCTGCCCACACATCCAAACCTGGCCTTCTTTGCTTCCTGCATCCCGGGGTACCCATTCAGCTGCTCTGCTCCTGCCTCAGGAATAGGTTCCCCCCTGACCTGGTGTCCGGAGTCCAATCCTGAGGAAATGCCTGACTGGGCTAACAGGTCTGTTTGGGGTCAGCACTTCGGCATTCTCTGGAGTGGTCAAGGAACTTCAAAGTGCGCTAGAACCCACTCATGGCTATATCCCAGATGGAGTCCATCTCTAAGCAGTTCTGTGTTTTCCCTTTTGGTTTTTTCCATTCTTGTCACTGTCCTGGGGTGGAGCGATAGCACAGCGGGTAGGGTGTTTGCCTTGCACGTGGCTGACCCGGGTTTGATTCCTCGTTCCCTCTCAGAGAGCCTGGCAAGCTACCTAGAGTATCCAGCCTGCATGGCAGAGCCTGGCATGCTCCCCATGGTGTATTCAGTATGCCAAAAACGGTAACAACAGGTCTCACAATGGAGACGTCACTGTGCCCACTCCATCAAATCGATGAATGGGATGACAGTGCTATAATGCTACACTCACTGTCCTTTGTGTTTCTTGTCCCCTTTGTGTGTTTTTGGTCGTTTCCCCACACTGCCTGGTCTGGAATCATTTAAGACATTTCCAGCAAAAGGCCTGATCCCTGCCCCTCTCCCCCCCCACCCGTCTCCCCCAGTTTGGATGCCGGTCACCTAGGGTGGACGGCTCTTGTCACAGCGGCAGAACGGGTCCTCTCCTGGTTGAAGAGAGATTGGATGAGGTAAAGGCCAAATGGGGCAGTTTCTATCAGGAACATGACTAGGAGGGATGAACGATTACATGTAGGACTCAGCCTTTTCCCTAATAATCATTCGTTTGAAGCTCTGTGTATGGAAATTGAAAGGTAAGATCTCCACTCTAACTCACCCTCTACCCCTTTTAACTCTGACCTTGAACCCCGATGTCCTCTCTGCTTAACCCCTTAGTCTCTGTGCCTTCTGGGCACGACCCTGCCTGTGGGACACAGAGCAGTTTTGGTGTGAACTTTGATGCGCGTCATTTATGACACAGGTGCACCTGGGAACGGTTGAAGGAAATTAAAACTCTGCAACTAAGGCTGAACCAAAGGCAGTGACTCTCACCGAGAAGAAAATGACCTCTGTAAGTCTCCAGAGACCGTTATTTTAAAAATCAGAAAATTGGCCTGATACTAGTTCAGGGGTCCAGTGCTGGTTCCATCTTTCTGCTGCCCTGACGTTGACTCTGACTCCTTGGAATCAAGATCTTGTCCCATTGTTTCTCCCTGAGCCTCAGAGGGTGGTGCCCACCCCAGTCCAGCAGTGCAGCCCCTGCTCAGGGCACTCAGCCCAGCTGAGGCAGCGGCAGCAGGGGTGGCCAGACCGAGGACACCGCCAGAGACTCCTGCGAAGGGACCCCCATTCTGCAGGGGACAAGGGCATAGTCTCTCTGCTCATGCCGCTCCATAGTGGCACAGCCCCCCAAGCTCTCCAGCTCGCCCTGGGCTTCCCTGTCTGCCTCTTGCCTGGACCCAGATTGCAGCTGCCCCGGGCTGGTCCCTGTGTTTATGGGGGTCTCGGAGAGCACGGAGGGGAAACACTCAGATACAGTCTCGGCGTCTCTCCCGGGGGAGGGGCTGACAGGCTCCTGCCTTTCCCGACCCTGAGTCCCCTCCTCTGTGGGGCAGCTCTGATTCCCAGGAGTGAGGCCCACGTGGGCAGGGCCTGAGCTCAGTGTCCGCAGGCTGGCCTGGGGGTGGGAATACGAGGTCACCCCGGAACCAGCAAATGGGGGGATGATAGCCTGGGGGAGCGTCTAGACCGCCTGTTGACAAGGCCTCCCTCGCTGATATAGACCTGCTCCGTGCAGGGATGGGGCTCCCGCCCACTATGCACCCCTCCCTGTGAGCCCACTCTCATGGCTCTTCTGGGAACCCTGTCTCTCTGTCCCCAAAGCCTCATTCCCTGTCAAGCAACCCCAGGGAAGGAGTCTACTCTCTTGGTGAGGGGAGCTTCCACCTCGTCATATCCTGCAGGGGGAATATTGGGCATCTGTGGCTGGGCTGGACTTCTTGCAGGTGTGGTACTTGTAGAATGTTATAGAACCTTCCCTGTTAAGGACTCACTTCTTTCTGTCTCTGTTTTCCTTTTTCAGAAAAGAATCGGTCCTCAGCCCAAACCCGGAGACCTGGTTGAGATTTTCCATGGTGGGAGATTCACCCCTGCTGCACTGAGATATCAACACTGGGCCGTGTATGTGGGAGACGGTTACGTGGTCCATTTGACTCAAGGAGGTAAGGACTGGGTCTCTGTAGAGGACAGGCTGAGGTGACTGTGGGGTTCGGGTCACACTGTGCTAGTGTCTCCTGCAGGTCTGGCTGGCGGGCATAACCACCAAGGCTGAATGACCAGGGTTGTTCCCTGTAGGCCCATCAGCTGCTGATCTGTAGCCAGAAGTTCCTGGACATGAGGTAGACACATCTCTTTAGACATTGGGGCCACTCAGGCCCTTTAGAGGACAGGTCCCTCTCACGCCCATCTCCTCTATAGCTGCTGATCTGGAGGGACAGAGGGGATGGAAGAAGGGGCTCCCCCAATACTCAGCACTGTCAAGGGTCTCAGAAGGAGCATGGCCCGGCCAATGTGAGTGTCCCTGGGTCCCCTCTCTCTGCTCAGCTGCATCCTCTGAAACTCAATAAGGAGCACCCTGGGGTGGACTGGCAGCAGAGAGGGGCAGGGGTGGCTTTGGCAGGGCTGAGTCAATACCCTCTTTTCAGCCTCTTGGCTTAGAGTTTTGACCTAGTTATTGGATCCCCAATCAATATTCCCACATAAGTTTCTTTTGTTTTTACATAAATAGATTTTCACTTCGTGGGAGGGTGGGTAATAAGCCCCCACTCTTCTAACTTTGGTCCAGAATCTCTCTAGGAGCAGGGTGCCCCCTACAGGAGAGAGTGAAGAAGCACATTGGGGTGAGCTGGGAAAAGAGGAAGGGAGAGATGAGGGGATGCTTGGGAGCCTGGAAGGGGTGGAGAGAGGGGTGGTGGAAGAGGTTAGGAAAAGAGTTAGAAGACTATGCAGCAGGGGAGGGATGATCCGAAGGAGAATTTTGAGGTCATATATATTGAGGCAGAGAGATGAACAGACTGTGCTTTCGTGCATAAGGATGAATCCTTGGTATAAATGTTAGGGGGGCTTCTGGATCTGTGTGTAGGAGAACTGAGTCCCCACCACAATTCTCCGGCCCCTCTGCCCGGGGTTCCTCTGGTCCCGAGGCTCTGGTGCTGCTCAGATCCTGCAGTGCTCTGGTCACACCCGGCTTTGCTCCGGACCATGTGGTGCCCCTAAGGAAGAGGGTCAGTGCACACCGAGCCTGCGCCCCAACCACGGTCCATCTCCAGAACCCAGAATATTTCTAGAGTGTCCCGGGACGAGGCTACAGTTGCCCCATGAGGGGTGGGGGCTCTAATGCTAGTCCCATACCCTCCCTACCAAACTCGGTGCCCATGTTTGTCTTGTGCCTGAAATTCCCCTCGTGGCCAGGTGAGATGTCAGCAGGGGCAGATTCTCTCCTCTGGGCTCTCCTGTGACCCGCCTGCTCCTGCAGCTTGAGGGAGCCTGGCCTGACAGTGTGGAATTGGCCTTTGGGGATAATCAATAGTGAAGGACAACGGAAACCCCCCTCTTGCACACAAAACCCCTAGAGCAGCTGAGCCAGACACTGGCACCAGCCCAGCTGCTCTCCTGGGGCGTCTTTAGAGGAGAATCGGGGAACTTGACCCTGGGGAGTGTGGACATCTCCTGCCATGGACCTTCTGCTGGGACCTACTGAGGCCTTCCAGCTGGGGTTCAGGGTGGTGCAGGGTTGGTGACTGGCCACAAGCTAGTTGAATGTTGGGCCAGGACTAGGAGCTGGTTTTGGCCACCTTGGCTCTGTACCCGTGTCATCCAGCTTCATGTGATAGTTCTAGCAACAGGTCTCTACATAAGAACCAGTAGTGTTCTTATGGACCCAGGGGGGCCTGGGTCAGGGAGGAGCACATGTCTGTGTGGGAGTCCCGGTCTCCTTCCAGCTTCCTTCTGTCCCCTTGAAAAGAAATGAGGGGAAGACAGACCGGGGACTCCAAAGCCCTCGCTAGAGCCCAGGCCCACTGGGTCCTGTTGTGAGTCAAAGTTGATAGGTGTCAGCCCTTCTGGGTTCATCCCTTCTGTGGGGACAGGGGCCATGCGGTGGCTTACTTGGGCTATTGGACTCCCTGGCATTTGTGCAGAGTTGACCCTGAGTTCTCTCTTGTGACTCCATAGACAATGAGATTTCGAGTGGGAAAGTGTTCTTGGCGGCATCTGTCCTGGGCATCCAAGCCGTGGTGAAGAAGGAGCTGCTGTTGAAGGTGGCTGAGGGGTGTGTGTACCAGGTCAATAACAAACTTGATGGTAAGCGCCGAGTGCGATCTCCTGAGGAGATCGTCCAAAAGGCCTTGGCGCAGGAGGGGAAGGAGAGCCACTATAGTCTCACCCGCGAGAACTGTGAGCATTTCGTCATGGAATTGCGCTATGGAGAACCCATGTCCGACCAGGTGCGTCCTCAGCCCATTCTCTCATCCCAAGAAAGTCCCCACTGACCGTGCTAGGCCAGGCAGATATCTGCCCATGAGCCAGACAGAGAGCCACTGTCCTCCTGCCCAGATGTCACCATCAGGGTGGGAGGTGTGGAGCACCAGCTCAGCTCTGAGATGGGCTGAGTGGACCCACTGATGAGAAGCAGTTTCTCTCACCCATTACACAGATAGAAAAACAAAGGCCCACTGTGCTCAAGGTATCATCAAAACTCAAGCCTTGCCCTATAGGTGGGTTCTGACCTAGGTCAACTGCCACAGAGGCCTTGACTGTCTCAGAAGGAGGTAGTGAGAGATTGTCCCACAGTGGAGAACAGTTTTGCTTTTGGCTTGAACCTCACCCTGCCAAGGGAGCCAAGCTGCCCAGGGTACGGGGCTGTGAGGATTAGGCAGAGGAGGGGCCGGGCTGTGGGTGAAGAGGCAGAGCACATGCCTGGCATGCGGGAGACCCTGGGCTGCACCCCTGGCATCTCAGGGGCAGGCAGAGCAACAGTAGGTGTGGACTGGACAGAAAACAGGAGTAGAGGAGTTGGGGGGAACGTGACCCGGCAGAGGAGGCGGTTTGGGGCCACAGGCACTGCCCACGGCTCCGGCATCCCCTTGCCCCTCACTCAGGCTCAGTGTCTACCTGTCAGTGTCACAGTTGGGTGCTACCCTCAACCCATGAGTTTTCTCGGGCCACTCTGATGGGTGGCTTTTGTCCAGAGCACCACAACTGTGTTGTTAACAGTCTCTATGAGCTTGTCTGAAAGATGCTGTGAACACACACACACACACACACACACACACACACACACACACACTCGGGTCAATCCTTTAGTTGTGGTGCTGTAGTACATGTGGTCTTGCCCTTGCAAGGCAGCTGTCTTTGCCCTGAACCATTTCATCTTACCCCTGGAGTGTGGTTGGATTCTTCTCTTCCTTGACCGAAATACCCAATGCCACATACATCTGCTCTGTGTTCTCCTTTGCGATATTCTCTTTGGTCCCTGTTTAGGATGTTATTACCCTCTCTCTGATACACTGAGTGCCCTGAGAAACATCACTGTGTAACTTTGGGCCAGTCCTTTACTCTGTGACTTCAGTCTTCCCGCTGTGAGTGGGAGCATAGGAGATTTATTAAGTGGGTTGCTAGGTGGCCAAGACAAACAGGTTCTGTAACATTCAGGTCCTGCTGTTACTGCCAGGTCTCTAAGGCTTCCTGCTACACCTGGGAGGACAGGGGCCACCTCAGGGTGACTACTGCTCTGCTCAGAACACTCACCCCAGAGAACATCCTCTGTCTCCTGCATCATGTTGGGTTCCCACCTCTGCCAAGATCCATTTCTACTCCAGGACCCTCTCCCTGATTATACCTGGGTGATAACTGCAGTGAGAGCTTCATCTCTGGAGGAACAAATAGTCCCAGCCCTTGTTCAGCAGATGGGCCTGAGTGCCCACTGGGGTTTCAAGGGGCTGAGCACCTGGATAGGATTATTTCTGGTGCCTCAGCATCCCCCCAACTCCGGGGCTCCTGATTGGCCAGCCCCGACCGAGACTTTCAGGCACTCCCCTCTTCCTCACAGTGCCCCTTGTCGACTTCCTCCGCCTGTGTCAGCCCCAGGCCCGCGTGTCCCTCCCGAGTGTCCACAGCAGACACCCATGGCTCCTCTCCCTCTGCTGCTCCCCGCCGGGCAGCACCTCCTTCTCCCCAGGGTCCTGCCCCCTTGGGAGCCTCTCCCGGCCTCTCTGCTCCCCCGAGGTTCCACTGAAGAGGACACGGGTCAGCTGGTCCCTCCTGGGTGATGTCTGCGGGTTTCTGCGTGGTGGCCGGAGCCTCATGCTGGTGACCATCTGCTTCGTGCTGCAGGTCGTAGAAAATATTTGGGGTGCGGTCCTTATTTTTACCCGTGTCATCTTAACGGTCTTACTGCGTCGTTAGCATCCTGCACTGTAATGCGGATCAGACTGTAGCAGGATTGTGGTAAGAACCTCGAACCCGACACCCTGACCTCTCGGTCACCCTGATTGACCCTTCGGGCTCATTTTAGGTAGTACAGGTGGGGGACCCCGCAGCCCATCTGGACCTCAGTGTGTGAGCCCCAAAGTTCCTAGGGAGCCCCAGGCCGCAGGGATGGTTGCATCTCTGGGGGGAAGGGCTGGAGCTCGGCTAGGGTGGCGGCCCGGGTGGGACTCTTGTTCCTGTGACAAGGCGACCCGCTCTCTCTCCTCAGGGGACTCTCAACTGACTCCATCCCAGGCCGCTGTCCGGCGCAGCAGGAACGTCCCCACCGGCAGATCCCTGTCCTGCACTGTCTCTCCCTTGTTGGTGACTCAAAGAGTAATAAAAGGCTGGACTCCGGCGTCTGCGTCTGTGTCCGTCTTTCTTCTGCAGGACGAGGGTCCTTCTAACAGATGCACGGGGACAGGCCCATCCTGACGGGCAGGAACAGGTCTCGGGGCCCGTGGCCCGCGCTGTGTGTCCACGGGACCATGACCGGGTGCGGCCCCGGTGCTCACTGCTCCTGCTGCCCCTGCAGGATGCGCCCGTTTTCTCGGATCTCCTGTCTTTCCCGTCTCTCCTCTCTCTCCTCTGTGGCTCCCAGGGCTCCTGCTTCTCCCCACAGGGTCCTGCACAGGCCTCCCGGGGGCCTCTGTCCAGATGACCCGACTCTGCCCCCCACCCACCCACAGGCTGCCGCCCAGTCCCCTGAGAACGTGATTGGCTGAGCGCCCCCACACTGAGCCTCTGATTGGCTGCTGGTGGGTCAGCCTGGATAGGGGCAGGGGCAGTGTCCCTCTGGGTTTCTGAAAAAAATTTAGCTGGAAGTTTGGACTTGACCCTCTAGAAATTCCTGGTGTGACCATGTGGTGGCAGCAATGCGTCTCTTCTTAGAGGAGTTTCCATGTCCCACATTGGTTGCAGACTAAAACAACTTCTACTCCTTCTCTCCCTCCCACTCTCCCCGCACCTTCCTCCCTCCTCCCTCCTCTCTCCTCTCTCCTCCCTCTTTCCTTCTACCCTCCTTCCTATGCCCTTTCTTCTTCCTTCTTTCTTCTTCCTCTGACACTATCCTTGGTTTAGAGGGTTTCAGTAGCAGCACCAGAACTGAAAGGCATCTTTTCTCTTTGCCCACGGATTATTGTCCTGACAGCCCCCCTCTCTGTACTTCTCAGTGGTCAAGAGGGACCCACTGTGGGTGCAGACCCAAGTCCGGGACCAGAACGTGTCATCTGGTTGCAGCAGAGCTGAGTGGGCTCCTGCGCTCTGAGTCCATTCTTGTACACGTCTGTGGTGACTGTGGTGCTTGACCATGGACAGGGGGTAGGGGTGTGGCATCAGGACCCCAAAGAGGCACCCCAGTGCTTCCTGCTCACCCTATCCTTGGTCATGACAGCTCACCCGACTTTGGATACTGAGCTCCGCTGCCACCCACAGACTGTTCAGACTCTCTCTCACCCAGCTCAAAGTCCCAACCAGCGGCAAAGCTCCAGCAGCTGAAAACCTCCAGAGGTCAATCACTGCCATGCTCACAACCTTTTCCCACAGGGTTGGACAATTCTCGCCATGACTGAATCTCTGAAAGACTCTGATACGCAGATTTTGTGACTGAAATTCCAGGTCCTTACATAGTCAGGGATGGTAACCTCTCTCCATCACTCTGTGCTTATTGAAGCTTGGCAATCACGCCCTTGAACTGCCTCTGGGGCCATATAAGCTCATTAACGGACACGACTCAGAGACTCACAAATACATCTCAGAAGATGCCTCTGAAGCCCTAAACCACTATCCATGTGAAAATTTAACTCCAGATGTATGACCTGAAGCAAATGTGATGATGAAACAACTCATACTCTATATCATTGATATAAGGACTAAAAGTAAAGTAAAGTAAAGGCCCTCCCATTGATCATCGATTTGCTCGATCGGGTCCAGTAACGTCTCCATTGGAGACTTTGTTGTTACTGTGTTTGGCATATCGAATACGTCACGGGGAGCTTGCCAGGCTCTGCTGTGCGGGCAAGATACTCTCGGTAGCTTGCCGGGCTCTCCGAGAGGGGCGAAGGAATCGAACTCGGGTCGGCCATGTTGGCTGCGTGCAAGGCAAATGCCCTACCGCTGTGCTATCGCTCTAGCCCTGGATATAAGGAATATATATATATATATGTATATATATATATATATATGGGCTGGAGCGATAGCACAGCGGTAGGGCGTTTGTCTTGCATATATATGCATATATATATATATATATATATATATATTCCTTATATCCAGGGCTAGAGCAATGGCACAGTGGTAGGGCATTTGCCTTGCACGCAGCCAACATGGCCGACTCTAGTTCGATTCCTCTGCCTTTCTCAGAGAGCCGGGTAAGCTACCGAGAGTATCTCGCCCGCACGGTAGAGCCTGGCAAGCTACCCGTGATGTATTCGATATGCCAAACACAGTAACAACAAAGTCTCACAATGGAGCAATGGAGACGTTAAAAGACGTAAAAAAGCCCGCTTGAGAAAATCGATGAAGAACGGGAGGGCAGTGCTTATATATATATACATATATATATATATGTGTGTGTGTGTGTGTATGTATACACACACACATACGCATTAGCACATGAAGCTCAACCTGTTATAGCATGTTGTTAAATTTCTTATGCAATAACTTAATGGCTCCTATGTAAGAACAACAATCCTCACACACTTTCTTCTAAAAAAACTTTTTAGGATCATTTTTAGTGGATTATCCAAAACAAGCAATACGAAATAATTATTTAGGGCCTGCTATTGGGCAAGCTTGGGTTGTGGCTGGGAACATTTGATATAATGGTGAATGGTGGTGGGATTAGTGTTGGATATTGAATGTAATAAATTATTGGGAGCAACTAAAAAATATTTGACACTTGACACTTGACATCCCGTTACTCATCGATTTGCTTGAGCGGGCGCCAGTAACATCTCCATTAGTTCCTGTCGCATGCTAATGTAGCCCAATGGCGTCTGCTCATTCTAGGAACACAAAGAGCTCAAACCGATCAATCAGGGTCTTGACGAAGACGTCTGACCAACTCATAGGTGAGCGGCCACGCAATCTTTTGACATCCCGTGGAATCCAGTTGGTAATGGCTTCAGTACAGCGGTGGTCACCAAATCTCACTACGTGTCCAGCCCATCTGACTTTCGACGTCTTGACAAATGAGACAGTGTCCCTGATTCTTGACCGTCGACGGAGGTCGGAACTCCGGATTCTTTCTGTCATTTGAGTGAAGTGTTATACTCCAAGCATAGCTCTTTTGATTCCTCTCTGGGAAACCTGCATAGCGTTCTCATCCTGTTTTCGTAGGGCCTAGGTCTCTGAGGCATATGTTAATGCAGGAAGAAGAGTGGACTCGAAGAGATGTGCCCAGAGCCAGAGGTTCTTCGTCTTCTTAGCTATTTGTTCGATGTTCTTGAAGGCGTTCCATGCCGGTCTTTTCCTCCTGCGCAACTTAGGTGCTAGGTCATTCGTCATGTTGACTTCTCAACCTAGGTACACATAACTGTTGCCTTCGGAGATGTTCATCCCATTGAGAGAGAATGGAACGTCAGGAATGAGACAGTTTCTCAAAAACATTCTCTTCGTGAGATTCAGCTGCAGTCCGACCTTTCCACACTCACGGTTGAAGTCGGCCAGCATTTGTACTGTTTGGATGATGTTTGGTGTTATAAGAACAATGTCATCAGTGAAGCAGAGGTAGTGTAATTGCTGACCGTCTATCTTCACTCTCATTCCTTCCTATTCCAGTCATTGCATGATGTTCTCGAGGGTGGCACTGGAAAGTTTCAATGAAATGGTATCACCCTGCCAAACCCCTCTCTTGACATGGATGATCACTTCTTTGTAGAATGGTCAGATCCTGGTAGTGAATCCGCAATACAGCTCACGGAGGATCCTGATGTATTGAGTTTGAACGCCCTGTTTGGCTAGGGCTTCGATGACCACGTCTGTCTCAACAGAATCAAAGGTTTTCTTAAAATCAATGAACGTTAGACAGAGCGGCATCTTGAACTCCTGAGAAACCTCAATGAGCTTGATTATCGTGTGGATATGGTCGATCATGCTAAATTCTTTTCGGAACCCGGCTTTCTCGCATGGTTGTCCTTCACCTAGTGTTCTGCCAGTCCTATTCAGGATGACATGAGTGAACACCTTGTAGACGACAGACAATAGGCAGATTGGGCGATAGTTGTCAATGTCGTGGATGTCTCCATTCTTTTTTTTTTTTTAATTTATTTATTGAATCACTGTGGGAAAGGTTACAAAGCTTTCAGGTTTATGTCTCAGTCATGCAAATATCAAACACATTTCCCTTTACCAATACTTATTTTTTACCCTGAAGAACCCCAATATAACCCCACCCCCACCCCTCCCCGTCCCTGTGAGGCAGATGAATTCTAGTTAACACTCTATCTGCTTTGATTAGATTCATTATTTCAATAAGATTCACCACTATTATTTAGAGTTTACCCCCCCCCCCCAAATCAGACATGCTGAAAAAGCATTGTGAAGTGATTTGCTTTCTACAGCTGGGTTCAATAATTAAATGTTGGTTTTGGATTTCTGCTATTTTACCTATTGACCCTGGAAGTATTTCTACTGAAAGTCAGATAGTTAAGAAATTGGTTTCTGTGTTCTGGAGTCGTGGCCGTGCTGGAGAGCCGCTCGCGGGGGGCAACCGGTGGCCTCGGTAGGGCGTGAAGGGCGGAGCGAAACGCCCCCCTTCCCATGAGGTTTTAGTCACCCCCACACTCCCGGCTCATACCTGCTGTCCACAAGGCTCCCATGTGGCCACCATCTTTCTTTCCAGAGAGGAGAGGGCGAATGGGGCAACACCCTTTCCCCTCCGGCAGACTTGCTGGGCTGGATCAATGCATAGTCCGTTCACTTTTCTGCTCCAAGCTGCTGGGTTCTGCATTAAGTCCTTGTGCTTCTGGGGCCATGGCCGTGCTGGAGAGCCGCTCGCGGGGGGTGACTGGTGACCTCGGTAGGGCATGAAGGACGGACCGGAACGCCCCCCGACCCATGAGGTTTTAGTCGCCCCCACTCCCCCGGCTCATACCTGCTGTCCACAAGGCTCCCATGTGGCCGCCATCTTTCTTTCCAGAGGGAGGAGGGCGGAAGGGAGCAACACCCTTTCCCCTCTGGGCAGAAATGATTGCCTGGATTAACGCATAGTCCTTTCACTTTTCTGCTCCAAGCTGCTGGGTTCTGCATTAAGCCCTTGTGCTTCTGGGGCTGTGGCCGTGCTGGAGAGCCGCTCGTGGGGGGCAACTGGTGACCTCGGTAGGGCGTGAAGGACGGACCGGAACGCCCCC